TCGGGGAAGGATCAAGCTACTAGATTGAACCAACATGAACTTTTTATAATGAAGTGTGCCATGGATAAAAAAAAAAAAAAATCAATGCCACCGAATTTATTTGTGCAAGCTTAGCCGACATCCAAGCACATGAACGGTATCTTCCGTCGCTTGGGACTTTTGTGACGGCATTGACAATGTACTTTCAAATCTTGAATCCGACGAGGCTTAGGATACAAACGGTCACACGGGCAAAGATTATTGACAAGGAACAGTTGACTCGTTGTGAATTCATTGATAAGAATTTTGCTCTTATCCCCCACAAAAAGAGGCCCAAAGTCGAGCGTTTCTTTAAAGAAAATATTGCAAAAGAGAAAATGTTACTCAAAGTCGATGACTATGTTTGCGGAAAAATATCCGTGAACATTGAACGTAGTGATTGATATTTGAAGCTTCCATTTGGTCCAAGATTATAAATATCTAAGTGTTTAATGGATTATAAAACATAACCGGACCAAATGGAAGCTTCAAATATCAATCACTACATTTACCACGTGAAGCTTCAAATATCAATCAAAAGCTTCAATGTTCCAGGATATTTTGCCGCAAGCATAGCCATCGACTTTGGGAAATATTTTCCCTTTTGCAATATTTTTTTTAAAGAAACGCTCAACTTTGGGCCTCTTTTTGGTGGGGATAAGAGCAAAATTCTTATCAATGAATTTACAACGAGTCAACTCTTCTTTGTCAATAATCTTTGCCCGTGTGACCATTTGTATCCTAAGCCTCGTCGGATTCAAAATTTGAAAGTGAATTGCCAATGTCCTCACAAAAGTCCCATACGGCGGATGATACTGTTCATGTGCTTGGATGTCGGGTAAGCTTGCCAAATAAATTCAGTGGCATTGATTTTTCTTTTTTTCTTTTTTATCCATGGCACACTTCATTATAAAAAGTTCATGTTGGTTCAATCTAGTAGTTTGATCCTTCCCCGAGACTTGATAAGCGATGAACTTCCCGAAAAAGCCTAAAGCAACATCCTTCACAAGAAAAAAAGGAGCCCCGTTTGATGTAAGTTTGTAATTCCCGGAAATCACCTTCCAATCAATTGGAGCCCTCTTGAGATAATCTATGGGCTTTTTCTTAGTGCCCACGAACGTGAACCCGAAAACATCGTTCATCACCTTGGGTGTCACCTTGCACTCTCTTCCCATCATCCTACATGTAAGAAGTTTGTTTTTGTCTTCAATCTTCATTTTGCTAATAAATTCAAGCGTTACGGGTGGTAATCCGAATATTGCATTTCCGCGTAATGCAAAAGATTGACATTGGTGAGGTACTCTTTTACGTTGTTGCCAATCCTGATCTTTTGTAAAAGATGCCAATCAGTTTTTCGAGTTTGGGTGATAAAAGATTCGTCAACATTTCTAAAGTGCACGCCTTCATCCCCAAGGTATATGGGAAACGGACATCCATACTCTTTTTGAATATTCTTGATCGGGGTTAATTTGATACAATGGCTCATCCCCCTCTTTATTGATGTCGGGTCCACTTTCCTCACTTTCCGTGTCCTCGTGAGTGAGAGTCCTAACGAGATGGAGAAGTTTCAGGAGTTGGTGTGCGTTGTCTCTTCTTAGCCATTTCGCTAAACACCTTGTGGGCACAATGTCACTTGTTTTTCACCACCTACAAAATCACCACCAACACCACCTACAAAATCAAATCATGTGTTTCCAACAACAACCAAGAATTCAAACCAAACAATATTCAACCCAACCAAAGTTCATCATTACAACAATTACAAAATTCTCAACCAATTCAAAAAAATAATAGCAAGCAAAATACCTATTCAACTTTAAAATTAGAATAAAATGAACTCAAGTCAACGTAAACTAGAGAAAAATGGTCATAAAATCTTTGAAAATTTAGGGTTCGGGTGAAAATTATAAATAAGGGGAAGTAAAATACCTTTTTGGTTGAGAAATCCGATCACCGGTGGCCACCTCTTCCGTCGGGCCGAGAACGTCATACGGTGTCCGGTGGTCGATCGCCGGTTGGTGGGAGATGATCGGTCTCCGCTTGAGATAGGGTATTAGAGGAGTTGGGATGTGAGAGGAGTTGGGGGTGTGAAAGGAGTTGGAATGTGAGAAGTGTATAAATATACACAAAGTTGGGTGAAGTTCAAATTACTGCTTCACAGCCGGTTGAAATTTCAACTCCGGATGACAAATATTTTCAACTCCGGTTGATGTCCCAACCGCGGTTGGCCGAATGAGTATATCAACTGCGGCTGAAGATCGTCCTTGCTTGGTTCATAGTTCAAAATATCATTTCACAACCAACAAAAATAGTTGGATATTATCGTCCTTGCTAATCCACCGAGTGCCTCTCGGTAGACCATGTCCGCTGCACACCATTCCACCTCCTCGTACAAACTCGGGCATCATCTCAGAAGCCCATGTCTATTTTGAAAAAAATAAATTGTAAATAGTCTTTTTAAACTAAATAACAAAAAATAATGAAACAATGTAAATTGTATATGTATCTGAGAAGGCATTAAAAACCATGGATGTTCAAGTGAACGTCATAGCCCAGCCCTCATCTGGTTCACTTATACCATCGAGACAATGGTATAAATGCTGAAAGACTTTTTTTTTTCACATAAACTACAAAAATCTTTGTTCACCAAAAAAAATCATACCTCATTAGTACATGTCATCTCCGCCGTGTCCCAAGAAAAGCACCACAAAGAGCCAAGAGGTTTGTTTGAAGATCTGTTTTCAAATTAAGAAAATGAAGAAATGCCTCAATTTGCATTTTTACAAAAATGAGAATTGAAGAAAAATATCTTAAAAAGGGTACATTTAAAAATGCACACTACAGTTCAAAAAGTCTCATTTACATCCATTCCAAAAACAAGAAACTCTCTAATCATTTTTCTTTGGCTCGAATTGGCCAACTTTCAGGGACATAAAAACTCATTACACTAGGTTCAAAAGAGCCCAATCACTTAGGATTTAAACACCTAAGGACAAAGCTTAAGGCTCCCTTTTCTTTCTCATTTTATCATGAATTGAAGGGCAACTAACGAGGCCCTAAGTACTGAATTTTAAAATCCAATAAACATATAGATTCAGCAATGGAAACACATAACAAGTACAACAACAACTCAAGCAATTTAGGATTCAAACACACCATAACATGTTCTTCATTTCCCTCTTTCTCATTCTATAACTAATTTTCTCAACTTTTCCAAATAATCAAGGCCAAGATAGCTGAGTAATTACCTCTGAATTTAAACACTAAAAAGCATATAAAACAACAATTTATAGGTATGAATATATTACAGCAACACAGTTCAAACGGGTAAAGATCAAGCCCCAAAATCATGCTATTCTCTTGTTTTTCTCATGGAGCAATTCAACGCCAATCAAGGTACAACAAAAGGAATTTAACTCTGAATTTAAGGCCAAGTAGCATCCATGAACACTCCTTCAACATGCTCAGCAAAATATCCATAAGAGGCTAAAACATAAGGAAAACTATCTCAATTTCTCACCAAAACATACCAAGTCTAAGCATGCCAATTCTCATTCTTTTTCTTAAAACTTCCACCCCCACTTTAAAGAGTCTAAACTGAAAGCATTACCTCTAAAAATAAAGCATTTTCACAGCATAAAATAACACAAAGAAGCCTCAGCATAAACAGAATTAAAGTAATTCATGACATCGAGCAAAAAAAAAAAACAAATCTTGAAGAGGAGCACATAGACACACATAGACCTCGTAACCTTTACCACACTTCTTGAATAGCAGCACATATACACACATAGACCTCGTAACACTTTGCCATACATATTTCAATTGAAAATGCACATATTAGCCCCCCAAAAAAATAATCCGATAAAAAATAATCCGATTTGGTACATATACTAGCCCCCCAAAAAATTGAAAATAATACACAAAATCGCAACATACAAAAAACAGCCCTAAAATGCACATTTTAATACCCTACAAATCGCAAGACACAAACAATACAAATTGAAAATATTACCCTAAAAATGTACAACCCTAAAAATCGCCTAAATAACACACAAAAGCATTACAAAAAAGCACCACAAAATCGCCGAAGAAATCCTAAAAATCGCAACACAAAAATCCTAAAATCGCAACACATTTTAACTAAAAAAATCCTAAAAATTGCAACACAAAAAGAAAACAAAATCGATTGAAAGCTTCGAAACTTGTTTCGCCGGAGAAGAGAGCTTCAAAATCGCCGGAGCTTTAGCATAGAGAGAGGGAGATAGATGAAACAAATGGACTGAATGCGGTAAAAAAACCCTAAAAATCGCAACACAAAAAAGAAAACAAAAAAACGAGCCTTGTTTTGCCAGAGAAGAGAGTTGCGATTGAAAGCTTCGAAAAATTGAGCTTCGAACCTTGTTTACAGGAGAAGAGAGCTTCGAAAAAGGGGTAGCAGCGAGAGCTTCGAAAGCAGAGAGAGAGTGCGAGATGCAAAATGGAAGCGGGAGCCGGGTGGGGTGAAAAAATTGAAAAAGGTGTAAAAACTGAAAAAGGTGAAAAGGTGATTTGGTCTTTTTGCAACTAAAATGGCTAGATTTCATTTTTTTAGAAAAGATGGTCATATTTCATTTTTGCTTTTGCTAAAGTGCTATAAAGGTCATTACCACTTTATAAGTAATTCTAATATATGTTGAGCGGCTCAACAAGCGCTCGAGTATACAAAAAAAGGCTCAAGCCCAGCTCAATTGTGGACTCAAGTTGCCGATCTCGGTCAAACTCGAGCCCGGGCAGATCTTTGACGCAAGTGCTCGCGAGAATATTTCTTATTTTCACGAACCAATCAAAATCAGAGTTGCTAACGAAAACTGGCACGTTTTCAAGCCGTTACAAACCAAATCGTCACATCAAAGAATGATTTCTCTTTCAAGGATGCAGAAATCTGTACAGAAATATACATAAAAACATAACATTTTATGAGCCACCCAACCTATTCAGCTTTATGTTTGGGATGAGGCTGCTGTTTTACAGATAGGGCAAGTGTTTTTCTGCCCAAGCCACTGCTTTATGCAACACACGTGAAATGAGTGTCCACAGTTCAGAGTCCCCGCCTCATCATTTTCTTCATATTCCTCCTGCAAAAGAAATCCAAATTAATAGCAAATCAAAATGAGCGATAAAAAGATGAAGATTCAAAAGTCCAGGAGAAATGAGCCAAACCTGGCATATACTACATTTCCTCTCATTTTCAGACGTAAAATGTGTCAACAAATTCTCAAATGATGCGAGTTTAATCCTCCTCAGACAATGAGTTATCTCATCCTCTCTCAGTCCAGTGCTCACATATCCAATTTGGTCACCAAGTTCCAGCAATTCCTGTTTATTGATTAAAGTGTCTGTCAAAGATTTCAAAGAGAACACCGGATATAGCAAAATCGTTCAACTACCACTGCAATTTTACCTCATATGACATGTTGTCAACATCAAGCCTCAGATCACTGTATCTATCGACCCTGTTTGGTCTCCCTCCCATCAGCATGTTGCTTTGGAGCATTACAATCTGAAACCAGCCAACCATGATACAATTAAGCTAATACACTGGGATCAAGATGCTTTTGCCTTTCTGAGTAGTTTCCTAAACATGTATTATTTTTTCCATCAATCCTTCAGTTGAATTCCGGTTTATGACCTACACGTAAGTGACGAAGTAGATTAACAGAATATGAGGAAGAACAGTCAATTGTGTGCATTTTCCACAAAGACCTCTATCGGATACAACTTTGATCAAAGGCTACCAATCTGAAGGCATTGTGATGCTATTAACGTTCAAATTTTCCACTTACCTCAAGTTTCTTTTGCAAACTATTGGGATTAGGTCTAAGCAAGCAAAATGTTTCAACCAAGATTAACTTCACAAATTGCAAAATACTAAGCCTGTCTAATACAAAAAGATCAGTCACATATATTAGAGACAGATTAGCACTTGTGTTTGTTTCTGCACAAAGCACTTCCATTTAGTTACATTCGATGGTTACAAACATGACAGTTTAACTATTTGGCATGCAGCTATCAAGATTCGATCAAATATCTTACAGTCGGATGTCTCCAATATAATGAGATCACATGAAAAAGTGTTTCCCAGAAAAGTTCACACGAAGTAAGTTTTTAGATACCTAACGGATGAATGCTCATGATTAAACGATCAATGAGAAACCAGTAACTCAAATTGAGATGACCAGCATGTAATAGATGAAGCAACCCTCTGACAAACATTAAAATAGAAATAGGCCAATGCAAATTCAGTTCCCATTTCAAGACATGTAATACAAGAGCCTGATTAAAAAAAAATACACAAACTTGACAACAGCTTACCCAAGTTCTTTAGTACGTAAATCAAATGTGATGATTTCGTGTTGCTTACAAATCCAACACGGTGAATCCTCTTATCTAAGGGACGACCTAATATGACCCTCTTGTAACAGCCAGCAAAAGCTAAATATGATGCTGACCTCAGCAAGTCCTTCACGGAGACCATGCCTGCTGACATGGCGATGATATCTAGAACCTGTGACATCAGCACGAATGCGAGCCAGTCCCAAACCAGCATCAGTTTCAACAAAAGGGTTGTCTTCAGGAATCGCCATTCTCCTCACGTTGTATGAACCCTGACAAAGAGAAAAAGGTTGAGGCCAGCTTATAACTGTGAAACAACAAAGATGAATCAATTGTCAACACTTCACATAAAAAACATAATATGATTATGCACTTAACAGCCTAATGCACAGGATGAAATTCTAACTACTGACATTACCACGAATAGACGCCAAAGATCTTCGGGATATAATTCTAAAACGCGCACACCCATCACCAAAGCAACCAAGAAAAGTGACGTGAGACAATGTAGTCAATGAAAATCTAAGCAATTAGCGAATAAAAACACAGTAGAATAAAATAAAAATATAAAAACTAGATAACAAAGAAGCTGGCTCGCACAACTTTGCCTCAATGATAGACAAACCTACAAGAATTTCAATCAAACACACAATAACAAACCAACGAAAGAAATCAACACGGAGTCGAAATTATCCAATTGGTGAAGAAAGAAATGGTAATTACCTCCCTCTGAGCAAGAAGAAGCCTGTCAAGCTTGGGCCTGGAAGGCCTAGTTGAGACGACACAATCCACATCATTAAGCGCGGCGGGGCCGCACCAAACATCAGACGAGGACGAGCATGCCAGAGAAAGGGAAGACTGTGAAGTTGGGTGGTTGCCATCAACAGGTAGCTTATCGTTGATTTTCCTAGTGCTAAGCCTTTTCGTTCTCGATTTTCTCTTTGGCTCCCAAGTGGCGGAGGTTCGTATAGCCGCAGGTACAGAGACCTGGGAGGAGGCGGCGCAGCCGAGGCCCCTGAACGTTGCCGATGTGAAGTTCTTCTTCTTGGAAACCATGGGATTCAGATCTGCTTCGGGGTTTCTCGGCGGCGGAGGGTTTCTAGCCTTTCTGTGATTGATGTTGTCGGCCATGGCTGGGTGGTCAGCGGCCGCTACAGGCTGTGCAGTCTTGAAGGAAAGAAAATCTAAAGAGTGTGCAGAAACAATTGCTTTGCGTGAAAATGGGATTGTTAACGGAATTTGAAGCAATAGTGTTTTGTTAATTCACTCCTAAAATGAAGGTCCTCTCTACTGTATAACATGTGAATTAAAAAAAAATAAATAAATAAAATAAAGATTCTACGGTCTCCTTATGAAATCATTCTTTCGAGTTTAACCGTTAGATCAACCATCCACGACGGAATCAAGCGGTTACAAATCCAAATGAAATAATTTCGTAATAAAACTGTAGCATTTCCCCAAAAAAAAAAAAAAGGTTGATGATTGCTTGTTTTGCGTGAGTGTTACCCAAAGGGCCAAATGTATCTGCTCTATTTTGTCATTTTCATCCCATTTCTTACATTTGGTATACTGTGAAACAAAAGGCAGGCCACAGTACCACTACCGTGTGCCCTGGCACACCTAGCTAGGTGTGTCAGGGCACATTTGCACGCGCCCCCTTACTCCCCAAAACTCCCCAATACTAGAGAAATTTGGAGAGTGTAGTTCACATCCCCAATTTTCCTTTTTAATTGAAAAATGGGACATATTATATAAATTAAAATATCATTAATTATTTATATTAAAAAAATAAAATAAAAATACCAAAATTCATAATTTTTCATTATCTATAAATAGAGACCACATTTGATAGGTTTTTGAACACAACTAATTTTTCGTTTTTTCATAATTTTTCGTAATTATTTTATTATACTGACATATAATGAACATGTTACATAATAAAATGAATATGTTTTCAAATATGATACAGATTGTAGATTGAAACAATACATATTCATCTTATTTTGTAACATGTTCACTTTATTATGTATGTAACATGTTCATCTTATTCTATAACATGTTCATTTAATCATGTAACATGTTCATCTTATTATTTAATATGTTCATTTTATTACGTAACATGTTCACCTTATTGTGTATGTAACATGTTCATCTTATTATATAACATGTTCATTTTATTATGTAACATGTTCATCTTATTCTATAACGTGTTCATTTTATTTATGTAACATGTTCACCTTATTGTGCATGTAACATGTTCATCTTATTCTATAACGTGTTCATTATATTATGTAACATGTTCATCTTATTCTATAACATGTTATTTTATTATGTAACACATTCATCTTATTTTAGAACATGTCCATCTAAATTTCATCTGTGAAAATGTAATATTTTAATCTTATTCTATGACATGTCCATCTTATTCTATAACATGTTCATCTTACTATGTAACATATTCATCTAATTATAGATTTATGTCATAATCTTCCAATAAGATAAATTAATTGTAAAAAATGATAAATTAATTGTGTTTAAAAAAATATCAAATGTGGTCTCTATTTGTGGAGAATGAAAAATTATGAATTTTAGTATTTTTATTTTTATTTTTTGATACAAAATATGAATGATAATTTAATTTATATAATATGATATATGAATTTCATTGCCCAATAGAATTGAGACACATGTCCCATTAAAAAAAAATCCTTGCCTACTTACCCCACGCACTTTTGGAGAAGGTGTATTTCACTTAAGGCCCTGGCACACCTAGCAAGGTGTGCCAGGGCACGCCTAAGTATTTGCGACGAGGCCAACAATATTAGGTTATGTTTGGTAGTCAAATAAACTAGTTTATACTTTATTTAGTTGGTTTATAAGTTTTATGTATTCAAATAAGTCGCTTCGTAAGTTTCTTTAGGTAGCTTTTCAGATAAGCTAGTTGAAATTTTTATTTCAGTTTGTTTATCAACTAATTTACCAATCACTTTTATCAAATAAGGTAGTTTTCAGCTATAAATTATAAGCTATAAGGTATAAGTTCAAAAATTACATATAAACTATAAGCTAGCTTATCAGCTAATTTTACTAAACATAACGTACATATATATTAGGAGTTAGCTTATCAATTAGTTTTATCAAACATATCCTGACACAATATACAAAAATATGGTTTTCTTTGTCTCTCTCTCTTTTTTTAAAAAAAAAAACAGGTGTGCAAAAGTGAAAGGTTAGGGACAAAGTGTGCCCAAACCCCAAAACATAGGCAGATAAAAGAACAAAAGTGTGCTTAATGGGAATGTGATTTCTTAAAAGTGAGAAAGGAGGTAAAATTATTCCCCGCCACCCACTCCTTAATTATTATGGAGTATAGTTGTGAGATGCAAATGCATCACTTAGAGCATTCACAATGCTTTGGGTCTCTTTTTACATATGTGGCAAATAAATAGACTTAAGTCCATAATGACATGGACAAACCTAAACTAAAAAAAACCAAAATCTATCCAATGCAAAACAAAAAAGTACTAGGTCTAGAATACATGACAACCAATAAAAATGCTCTAGTATATTTCATTTATTAAAAGAAAAATTAAATGAAGAATAAATGATGAGTGCTTGGGTTTGTACTTGGGTCTAAAATAGACCCAAGTGTGGACTATGTCTCATTTTTTTATTGCCACATAAGCTAGACTAGTTCCACTTTTAATTGCATTGGAGAACACTTTTTTATAGACTAGGTCTATTTCTTACATGGCATGTAACTTTTTTCTAAGAAACCCAAAGCATTGTGGGTGCTCTTACTCTACTTCAAAATTGTGAAGTGAAAGTCAACATGCCCAAATACATTGTATCTAATGAGGTCTGATAGAGATATTAGTATCGACCCGGATTAAACCAAACAAAGACCCGAGAGACCGAGGCCATATAGGCATAAGGGCCGAACCAAGTGAGATGGGCCAGGAGGGGGTCGACCAGTTTGAACGGCCGAACACAGCTTAGGATCGAGTGGAGGTCGACCGGATCAAGCGGTCGAACACAAGCCCAATCGACCGTGTGGTGAAATGGGTCGAATTTCACCCGTACGTGCAGAGTTGATCGAGTTGCACTCCGAGTTACATTTATTACATACTATTTATCTATTCCGAAATATTGACTCTTGGGCGTCGAAGGTCTTGCGCTGAAGCAATTCCGGCGCTTTTGCAGGTATCGGCGAGCTTACGAATTCGGGCCAAGCTGAACCGGTAGATCCACGTTCAAATCGGAGAGAACCTTTCGTAAGACCGGAGTCATTTATCTCGGACCATATCAAGGTCCACACGGGTTAGGATCAAAACCCAACTCGAATTGAGTTATTTATTCATTATCAATTGACTATTTAATTTATGAATTAATCTTATATAAACTCTGCAGAATGAATAAAAATATATAGTGTTACTAATATACTAATCTCCACATCATTAACTGGCCACAAATCTAATTCAACTACAAAATACACCCCCCAAATCTGTTCAGCAGGTCTTACTAATGTGAGCAGGCCATGATAAATAATTAAAACTGGACCAATTGATTTTTTAGCCCAAAAAAAAAGAGGGTTGTCACAATTTGGACTTTGAATCAGAAATCTCCAAAGACACTGGGCAATGGTCACTCCCAAAAAAACCTGTAACCAATAAGATCAAAAGCAACTAACTCAAAATTGGTTGATAAATGAGCATATGTTATATAAATGCACATTAATACTGCTGAAGAACATACAGAAAAATTATGCACAACACAGAAATCTAATGAATGAGATATTCATTCTCATTTCTCGCATAAGTCGAGATCATTAATATTGTTTTTGAGTCTAGAATATAACAGCTAAAATATATCGAGAGAGGCTGTGAAAAAGGAGCTAACGACAACCAGCAACAAACATAAAATTTGCAGAGTATTAAGAAAATGTTTCTTTTCCTGCAAAAGTTTAAGAAAGGTGAGCCTCTGGCCTGGTAATTATTTAACGACAGACCTGGAAAGATTTAATCGGATAAGCCGTGTACATTAATTACCTTCCAGTTCAATGCCATGTCCATGCATTTCACAGGAAACAATTCTTTCCTTCAACTCATCTGAAACCACGAAATAGTCGATTCTCATCCTTTTCCCACGGTATCTGCATAATAGTAGTTTTAGTTGGCAAGCATGAGATACAGGTTCTTTCTAGGATTAATCTTTAGGTATTAGGGGTGATTACGAGGAAAATTTTCATCCGTTAAATGGAGCAGTGCGTATTTAGGTTAAACTGTCAAGGTTTCTTTTCTTTTTTAGCGAATCGGCTTTGTTTAGGCTCTCTATAAAGTTCTCCAACATATTAGCAGATACAGCTTCGAATATCGTTATCCAAAAGTAATGAAATGAAACCAGCTACAGTTTCTTACTTCCCGATTGGGTTTCCTGACCAGGAAAAGCCACGCTCCATGTCTTTATCCTTGTGCAGGTGCCTGTATGCATCCACCAGTTTTCCCCTGGGCAGAGGCAAAGTCAATCACACAAATTTGAACGTTAACACCAAAAATGCATCTTAAACAACAGAGTATAGTAGTGTTCATCTTGTGGTACGAATGGTATGAGATGCACATTATATCCTATACAAAACCTCATTCTCCAAACAACTTGACACTCATATTTTTACTACTGGAAAGTATTTCATTTTCATAGTAGAAGAACACAATTCGTCAAAGGGGGAAAAAAAAGGTAATAGAGAAAAGGCGCAATGTATATAATTATGTTGCACAGTATGAGCAGCAAATTAGTGAACAAAAGTAACATGAAAAATATTTGCAACAGATATAGATAGATACAAGATTAGAAATTATCGCACGAGCTCGTTTGTCGAAAGCTACAAGTGTGCGCGCCAAATTCCTTTTGGCTTCAGTAATTTGTAAATGGTGTACTCTGCAGATGTTAAAACAATTTGAAATGTTTCTTTTTTAAGACTGCCTAAAAGAAATGTGGATAGAATATAAAGGAGATTAACTGTATCCTACTTTAGGAGGAGATCGTTAACAGTTGTAGTTTCACCAAAGTTGGGAGATGTATCACCATCCTCTTACATTGTGTGTTCAATAAGAAGAGGCGAGCATTAAACTTGAAACCATATCACACTAGGCAAACATTGTCCTCATAAATCAATTTAATCATAAAGCAAAAAATTCTCACATCAACAAACTTTTTATGTGTCATAAGTAGACACCCCAAGCCTTTTGAAACAGATAAACCGTTTAAGTGAGAGACATGACCAACAAGGGCTGATCTCTATTGAGAGACATTTTGCATTACAGATATGCATATAATAGAAACAATGAGGTAAAAATAGAAGTTGGGGGCATTCATGTACGATGCTCAAAATATTGCAAAATCGCGAAATTAAAGAAAATAAGAAATTGACAATATTCAAGAATCTAGGCTCATTTTGTGTCATTTGAATTTTAAAACCATAATCTAATTTCTTAGACTTGGAAATGTTTCGACGATACTAAATACTCATATTTTTATTTTATTTTATTTTTATTTTTTTGCTGTATGTTGTTGATTTGGGAATCAGGCATATGACCATTTGAGAATCTATATTTGACTTGATAAGTAGAAAATACGATAAACAGTCGTTCCATCTTGTAGATTAATAATCACTATAACCACGAAACTTTAAATTAGTATTGCTTCTCCTTGTTGCAATGGCAAGTATAGAAAGGGTATTTTCCAGGATGGCGTACTTAAGAAATAAGTTGTATACACTCAGCATAAGAAATTGTCATATTCCAAATTCTACATCCCAATATTAAAATATTCAAGCAGAAATTTCAGTGGATATTCCATTGTTAAAATTTCCATAGAAAAATTTCATTGAGTAAAAACTAAAATAGCTAGTCTCAATCACAATTAAATTTCTATTGGAGTTCCTGTTGGAATTTAACGTTTCCAATGGTAGTTTTTGGTGTCCCACAAATGAAATTTTTTTGGATCCATCCCTGTTAACCTACCCACATTTATAAATTATAAAATACACAAGAACTTCCTGCAGACATATTATTAATTTTAACACCCTCCTTCCTGCAGACATATTATTAATTTTAACACCCTCCCTTGAATCAGAGTTGTGATGCTATGCCAGCAACATAAAAATTATTTCAAGAGTACGTATTCTTTTTAAAGAATGTAATAACAGTGATCCTGCCATGTTAGACAGAGAGAAACATAATTTAAACGTGAGACGTACTCTTTTAGGATCAAACCAAAACGCCTCCGCTCAGCCAATGTAAATCCAGGTTGCCCATAATCCTACAAAGTAGAGGTTGATTTAGCTTCTGTTGGCTTAAATGAAGAGCGTACGTCTTCGACAAGATCAGATCAATAGACTTCTTACTCATCTGAACACACAAAGTTTCCACTCTCTCTTATCATATATAAGAAAAACAAGAATACATCACCTAAGCAAGCAAGCAACAGGCATCAGCAGCATACATTGAGGTAACAAATTTAAATCCTTACATCAACCTCAAATATGATACTCAGTTCAGATGATAGAATCAAGGGAACAGAAGTAGATTTACATGAATGTGTATAACCACCAATACAAATAGTTGTAATAAATAGTACTGTGATAGTGCACATGCAAAACAAGCTGCAAAAAGTCAAGAGCATAGAAAAGTGAAGAATGTAACCTGTCCTTATGTACCCACCAATTTTTCAAGTAAACTTGGTAAAATATTTTGGTCACAAGACCTAATTAATTTTACTCAGATATCATATTTATAATGATCATGGAACTCAACCGGCAATCAAGCAAACACAAGAAGAACCTCTTTGTTGGGTGGTACGTAACCATTAAGCTTGGCAGCGCTGAAGAATTCTGGATGACTTACGTCAATATCTTCATGACTGCAGAAGAAAGATGAAAATGAACAAAACTATAGTACATCCATTCTAAATGCAACGATTGAATGTAAAACGCAACAATTGCACACAATTTGCAGAAGGATACAAGTTATATTAGCAGCACTGTAGACTAAAGAGTGAGTGCTGGAGAAAAAGAATGAATTAGGTTTTATTGATGACCAGAAAATAGAACGGGGAACTCTGAACCATCAAACACGATTACATCCGGTCTCACCTATGCTATTACGTAAGAATAATAGTGTTTATCCACCTAATTTGAGGATCGTTACAGTCTTAACATAAGGTTAAATTAAGTAACAAAAAGAACTATTAACATATCAGAGATTATAAGCAGTCAATCAAATCACTACGCTCATTCTATTCTAAGCATAGACCCCAAAACACATGCCAATATTTCCCTTGATCATTTCTTGCTATCCATCAAGCTCATTCTCTAACAAGATGGTCTGCCTATTTAATTTGATGTACGAAAAATACATATTATTTCATGCTTTCAACAATATAAAACTTCAAGAAATATTTCACATGACAAAGGCACGGGTATATCTCAAATAGTATCTAAACAACCACTAATATGACTTTAACTGAGAATTATCAAGTGCATTGTACCCATATATATTTCATGCAACAGGGTTCCACCGCGAAAGCACCTTATCATTAGCAGAGTTCAACAACAAAACTAATCCTTTTCATATGTATCTGAGTAAGTTATTATATTCCAAAATTTATGCGTAAAAAGAAAAGATTATGCAAAAACAATTGTTCCGCCCTATAGGTAGAACTTGAAGATGGATAATCAATTTCCTGACATGATCTGTGCCGAGTCAGCTAGCTGTTCTCTCTCACACACACATCGCTCAACATAACTACTACTTGACAAAAACAAAGCTCCAACATTATTAATCCAGAAAACCCATTAACATTCAAACGCCTAACAAAAGGCGGCCTTTCATCCACAACTCGCCACAAGACAGGTAATCCAAAGTGACAAAACCAGGGTAAAAAGAAGGAACGTCTAGAAAGAAGATTATTTAAGTAAATCAGAGGTAAAAGGCACAATACTACCTCACATTAAGATCGCCGCACCAGATAAGGGACTTATCAGAAGCTCTGAGAACAAATTCCAGCATCCTTTTATCCCACTTTCTTCTCCTCTGAAATGAGGATTCCTCCTCTTTCCATCCGTTGTTAGGAACATATGTATTCAATATACGGAATGATTCAAACTCAGCAATAATAACCCGGCCATCTGCTTCATGCTTTGAACCTGAGAAGACATAAACGAACCAACTATTTCCTTGTGTAAAAGTTCTAAAAGAAACATGTTTTAAAGGCAAGAAAGTTCCAGGAGGCAAGAGGCAGACATTCAAATCCTGATAGCTTTCTCACACAGCTTCAGTGAAATGAAAATGATCCTAAATTAAAAGGACACTCTTTCTTGATTTCCCAATTATTACAAATTGATCACAACTAAATTTGCAGGCCACTATAAAACTGAGGCTACTGATATGAATGTACAGTTGAACTACCCAACAGCCAAACAGTAGTTTGCTTCGCAGATCTCTCCTCGAAAGCTCTTGCAAGATTGTGGGGATTATGTTAAAGATAGATAACTAAGTTGAGGGGATTGTGAATATCACACTTATCGGAGCAATTATGTTCTTTCCTAGTATAGGGATTCTTTTGTGCATGTAAATACGTATTCGTTGTGGAATGGGATATACAAGATTTTCTCTCTCTACTCTGTACAGTAGCCAACATTTCCTAATGAGCTGAACTCCCAATGATACAAGTGTATACCCTTTTAACCCTGACTTTCATAAAACCTTCACATAAAATCAGTGACTTTCATATATATATTCATGCCATATGTGTGTAAAGACAGATCATGTTCGATATCTGCTTTGCCTTATCTCAAATGCATTATTTACCATTATACTATAACTGCTTAACCATCAGCATTCTTATTCTTGTAATTTTTTAGTAAACTTCTAGAATCTTTAGCGCATTATTATACAAAATTTCTAATAAAAGAACATACATAATTGTTGGGCCCTCAAGCCTTGAGAGTTTCCCCAAGAAATATTGGATATTTCATCCTGTTCTTACATTGTTTAAAAATATTTTTCCAGACACACAACACATAAGAAAGAATTAATAACCATAATAGTTCGGGTAGTGCTAGAAAACGTAATGAGTCTACTTCACATGAAATGTGAAAGTAGAAATGAGCTCTAAATTATAAATAACTCAAGGTATGTCAAGACTAGCAAAACACATTTTCAATTTAAGTAGGCTACATTTTCTTCATCACAAGACGGGTGTGTTTTCATTTCTAACATTAAGGAATAGAATGCTTCTTCGTCTTCTGTACCATAAGAATGATATCGAGCCCAAGGATAAAGTGATAGTCTCTTTCTAGGTTTCAATTCGGATTAAAGCAATTAACGGAATCTAAAAGCTTAAAATAAAATTCGGCCTTCCATGATTGCCTAACTATCTCATTCATCTGGGTCATCAAGAAACTTATTGTCCATTTTCTTTGTTAAAAGGTGGGTTTATATCATTAGCATCCAAAAAAGAACAGAGATGGATATGGTGAATACCTAATAAACTTGGTAAACATTCTATGAGCATTTATTGATATTTATTTTGAGAAAAAAATGTTCACAAGCCCAATTCCATATTGCACTTTGTCTGATGCTAATTCTGATGTCCAAGATAATTTAATCCAATAGATAATGATATACGGTTTTGTATTACCAGATATGAGAAAACAAAGATTGGTGTGTGTGTGTGTGTGTTTACACACACACACACAAACACAATGAATGTAGACAAAACAAAAGAGGCATTTTCAGCCTAATAATGAAAGTGCAATTGATAATCAACATAGTAAAAGCAAGTATTACCACACAGGTTCTCTTTGAAGTCCTGCTCAACTCAATAACCAGATACCTAGATGAATTTAGCAAATTTACCACTATAATGTTACATATAGGAACTAATCTTTTCCTCGTGTTTATTTGTCCTGTACGCATTAGTATCTTCAGGTTACTGCAACTGTAGTAATCTTTTCCATTTTCTTTTATTTGAATTCTTATTAGGCAAGGATTTGACCAACAGTTCACATTCCTCTCCAGTGCATAGCATAAACAGTAAGTGAACGGTAAGAGTCGTTGATGTAATGAATCTATGCCGCATCTGATTCGATTTTAGAATCAATAGAATACATGATAATGATTGAGTCATGTGTGACTCGTACATGAGATCGGTCCACGTGGTCCATGCCGGTAATCCATAATTCAATTCCGACCTTACTGAATTGACTCTAGAATTCTAGTTATCATGTTAAATAAAAGTCATAACATAGGATTTAGTAAAACATGGGTGGAACAACAAAACAGATCATCCATGATGAGGATTCTCAAACTAGTCGACAACAAACCTGCTTGATCCAGTGAAAAAGAAACCTTAATTGGCTGGAAGCACTTTTTTATTAACAATGCTGTTCCAGCATATTTTGAATCTGAAAGAGACCACCACACATTATAATTTTTGAATGGTGGATTTGATAATGCTCGCATGACAATCTGCACATAAGAACAAGGTATATCACTCTAAAGTATAAACACAATTAGCAGATGTTAGAGTTTATCTTCTCTGTATCCATAAGAAAATTATATTTGATGATTTATTCCGAGAAAATAAACTCCAGCATGAAACTGATGGAATCACATTTATTAACTTTTAAGAAGAATAAAAATGTATCCAGGCATCTTCTCAGTCGAATCTTATGGGGGGAGGGGTTTGGAATAAAGAGAAAAAGAAAAACAAATTCAAGACATAATCTTAATAAAAAACACCAATTTAAGAAGTTATGTCATACGAGAAATATAGTAAATACATCACAGTAAAGAAAATTAGTCAACAAATGCATAAAGAAAGATAACATATATGTGTCAATAACATAATTTTATGTTTTTCTCTTTTTTCATATATTATACTTCAATATGTTTTTTTTTATTATTTTTTTTATCATTTTTTTATGACATATCAGTCATCGGATATGTAAACTTTCACAGTTTTTGCTTATACAATAATATTGCACCTATAAAATCAAAATAGATGTATGGCAAGAAACCTAAAATATATTAACTCATAATCTGATTCTATAAAATATAGAATCGCGGAATAGTATGTACATCAGCATCATTCATCGTATGAGGTATACTTGACTTGAGTTAATATAAATCATCATTCAAAATATTTTTTAATTCAAAATGACTGAAAACATAAAATATAACTTGTGCAAATAATTTTATATAACACACTCTGTGCATCACATGGGGAAAAATGCTACATGAACAACCCACTGGAGTTTGAAATTTAAAGAAGACAGAGAAATAACGATGTCAAGTATGAAAGCTTCATGCGACTTGAAACATTATCCATGCTCATAGCTTGGAAGTTTCACTAAGGTGATGTTAGCTGAGGATACAAGCTAAGGAAAGCTTGGGTTGATAAGTTCTAAAATGCTTTTTAAGTACAAAATTGTTTGTTTAAAGTGGTGTCAAAGCGGAACAATAAGATGTGAATAGTTATGGTTAAACAATTATTTTAAAAGATGTGAAGAAGTCAAGATTAAACAAAGTGGAACAATAAGACTATTCTGACCATAATTCAACTATTACTATATTAGCAACTTCCATTAAACGAGTGCAAACATGACCAAACAAACATAAAAAGATAGATTGCATTGAATAAGTTCCCACAGGATGGAGGGAAGGGGCTCCATCAGTAGCATATTTCAAGACATTATTAACAAGATGCAAATAACTGATACAAATTCACCAGATTGATGTGGAGTGTAAAAAATCCAACTTACTCTGCCCTGTTTTCTCCTTTATTTGGTTTCATGTGATTTTAAGTCTTTTGATTATAGCACATATTTATTTGCTGAAGCATAAAAGATTAGGGATGTCACGGAGAAACCGTGAAGGCTTAATCTAAGTTGTATTGGCGACAACTAGTGGGTAGATGTTAGTAGCTTGAGTGGATTTGCTGTAACAAAAGTTTAAGGCCTACTTTTGTCCAAAAATTCAACATAAAGAAGGATGACTAATCATTAGCCAGCAAACAACATAAAAGTTAACCTGGTTAGTTCATTCCTTCTTTTCGGAGAATTTATCATTTTCATGCATACTCTCACGAAAGGCTCATGTAGGGCCAATTTAGTCCTACGGTAATTTTTCACATAAATAGTTTCTTTCATACAAAGTCAATGCTTGTAACTAAAACAACCAGGACAACATCTATGAAAATTTCACACGACGAACTTTCATCGTACAAGATCAGACAAAAACAAAAAAGAAAGGAAAAAAAATAGACCTGCTTCTCCTCACGGGAGGCGGATGTATCATCTTTTAACTCTCTCGGGTTTCTGGGAGCACCCTTAGCACCAGCTGCGGGGATCCTGACTTCCTACGTCATTACCAAGTTAGATAAGCTCTTACCAGAGGTTCCAAGAAATATGGGTTGATAGTACCATGATAAATGTAAGTAAAACAACGAAAATGAATTATGCAATGAGCTGTGAAGAGAGTTTACATTTAAGACAGATGATCCATATTTTAAGCCAATAAATAATGCAAAATCATTTAGAAAGTTAGGCTCCATTCTTATATATATCAGTTTACTTAGGATTCTCGTAAGTTTATGGAGCACAAGAAAAAGGAAATAGGCAAATTGGATGTTATCCATGCAAGTAATCTCCCAGCACCGAGACATGTAAATAAATATCAAATAAAAAGTCCAACTCAAAAGGCATTGCTGCAATAATAGGGAAACATAACCAACACAAGAAGCATCTCTGATAGAAGTACTAATCTTAATCAATCAATCATGAATTTCGATGAAGCCTACCACAAATGGGTTCCAACGAACACAAATCAACCAAAAGTCATTACAGAGCACACAAAATTTTAGCACAGTTCTAGCACTGAATAACAAAAACTAAAACAATACATCGCCATTTACCTTTTCCCACAGAAAACAAAACAACCTCCAAATGTCAGAAAAAAGGAACCCATCTCTGATAAAGTAAAATAAATTGCCAATGAAAACAGAATAAAAAAAAA